GCAGCGCTCTGCGGTGGCGGGCAGCTCCCACGGCAACATGTGTGCGAAGCTATTCTTGGCGCCCATACTGCAGGCTGCCCACCCTGAGTGGAACTATGCGCACTTGTGGACCTTCGTCGACGACGCAGTGGCGAGGGCTGAGGGCAAGCTGGAGCACGTTCGGTCTACCATTCTCGGCGTAGCGGAGTCCCTCAAGGCTGGCCTTGACGAGCAGCACCTGCAGGTCTCTGGCAAGACTGTGGTCATCGCTAGCCACCCGCAGCTGGCTAAGGACATCCACCGTGCGCCGGTGCGTAGGGGCGCCCCCTGTGCGGCCACCAACCACGCAGTGGACCTCGGCGTGGACACTGCTGCGGGGCGTGCGCGCACGCAGCGCAGGGCGCTCGCCAGGAGGAAGGCGGGACGCGGCCAGTTCCGCCGCATCTTCAGGATGAGGCGCCATGTCCAGCTCTCCAGAGTGACCAAGGCGTTGTGGTCTACGGCGGCGCTGCCGAGGTCGACGTACGGCCACCAGGCCTTCGGCCTGGCGCCCTCGGCCATCCTCAGGCTGAGGAGGTGTGCTGCGCTGTCGGCAGCGGGCAGAGGGCCGGGGAGATGCCTCACAAGCATCCTCGCCACCCTTCACGGCGACAGGGAGCCTGGCCTGGAGCTCAGGCGCCAGCTCCTGGGCGAGTGGCTCGACCTCTGGAGGCGGGCCCCGCAGCTCCGCAGTCGCATCGAGTGTGCGTGGCCCAGCGTCTTGGCCAAGCTGATGAGGGCAGGCCCCAAGCGGAGGTTGCGAGCTGTGAGTGGCCCCATGGCTGCGCTCATGGCTATGTTGCTGGACGCGGGCTGGCTGCCTACTTCGGCGCGCTCGTGGACGACGGCCAGTGGCGTGGGACGGCGCCTTCCTGGCCACGAGGATCTGGACATGGACGCGTCTGCGGTGCTGGACGAGTTCGTGGTGGACCTCAAGCGGGCGATGTGGGGCGTGGCCAGCAAGCACTTGCATGGGGACGACCTGTGCGAGGGCGCCGATGCAACCCTCATCGCCCGCGAGCAGCAGCACTACCTGTCCAAGGGCCAGATGGACATGTACGCTCAGAACATCGTGGTCACTTCAGGTGGCCAATGGCCGCGGCTCAGGCAGAGGGAGGCGGGCCACGTGCTGGAGTCTGTCACATGCCCCCGCTGCGGCCACGAGGACGAGACCTTGTTCCACCGCATCTGGTCGTGCTCTGCGAATCGGGGGTGCAAGGAGCGCGGCTCTACCAACCACCTGGTGGGGCAGGCCAGTGTCCAGCACGAGAGCCAGCCGTCGCTATGGCTTCGCGGTCTCCCTGCGCTGCACCTCGCGACGCCGCTGTACGACGAAGAGCTGGCGGAGTGGTCCTTCGAGGTTGGAGACTTCCGAGGAGCTCGTGGAGCTGACGGAGTGATTCACCTGTTTGGAGACGGCAGCGGGGGGGGCCATTCATCGGACCCCCGCCGCCGCCGCTGCGGAGCCGCATTTTGCTCCGTTTCCTTTGATGAGGAGGCGGCCGCCTGGCGCCTCGAGGGAGGCGTCTTGGGCGGGCTGCCAGCGCGCCAGACTGTCCCGCGCGCTGAGCTCTTGGCCTTCGCCCTTTCCGTGGAGGCGACAGAAGGCCCCTTCATCTTTTAACTGACAATCGGGCCTTGTATCTTGGGTGGCTCGCGGGGAGGCAGACCTCCCCTCTCGGGGCGAATGGGGACCTCTGGCCCGCGTGAAGCGGAGCATTGCCTCCAGAGGGCCCCAGAGAGCTGCTGAGATTTCCATTGTGTGGATCCCGTCCCACTTGGAAGAGCAGGCCCACCTGTTAGTCTCGCCTAGTGTGGTCTTCCGTGCTGCTGGGAACGCTTGTGCCGATGCTCTGGCGGGTGTCGTTGCCCAGGAGGCCCTCTCTCGGGGCCTCATTGGCGTCGCCTCGCACACGGATGCATGGGATGCTATCGCTGCGCAGGTTAGGACTCGTGCTAGGAGGGCCCTGATTGACACACTTGAAGTTTACGCTTGGGAGGCTAAGAGACCTCCGAAGATTCGAACCGCTCCTCGGCCAAAGCTCACCCGAGTCTTGGCGGCCAGCCAGCACGCTTGGCCCCCGTCCAGGGCGGTTGCTGGCTGTGCTCGGTTTGCCGTCTTCTGGTTCCTGGGTCCAGGGTCGAGGAAGCGGCCGAGTCTTCGTGCACCCCTGCCCCTGCGCCCAGAGTTGGCGGGGGAGTGGGGATCCCGAGCAGTATTGTGAAGAGTAATTCGTACGTGATCCTTGGGAACCAAGAGGTCCACCAGTCACATGAGCTGTACTTGTGGCAGGAGCACATGCTGTATTTTTGCAATGTGTGCGGCTCGACGGCCACCACCAGGCTTCCTGGGCTTGTCGAGTTGTGCCACAGCCCCACCAAGAGGGGGCGTCATAATCTCTCACGAATCAAGCAGGGCAAGCTCCCGAGCTATGCGGGCTTGCCTATGGGGGCTAAGGATGCTTCCCTTATTTTGCAGTCCGGAGTTGGAGCGGCTCCTCTCGAGGGCTCCAACGAGGGACCTCCAGAGTGCTCTGCTGCTAAGGGCTCCAATGAGGGACCTCCTGAGAGCCCGTAGGGTGGTTGGTGGGACACTGCGTCCCCTTTGTATCTCATATCTCATATCCTCCCCCTCCTCCTCCTCCTCCTCTTCCTCCTCCTCCTCCTCCTCCTCCTCCTCCTCCTCCTCTTCCTCCTATTCCTCCTCCTCTTCCCCTTTGTCCCCACGAGGCCCCCAGGGATGGCCTCCGGCCCCTGGGGCCGTGGCCGAGCCACTGGACCGTCGTAAGCGGACCCAGGGTGAGAAGCTGCAGCGGATGGGCACCGGGAGGTGTCTGGGGACCTTGAGCCGGTTTGCCTTTATCTTCGCTGCTTAACAGATTTCCGTGGGACCCATCCAGTTCGGACCCCCCCCCCGCCGCCTCTAAGACAGGGGAGTCGGACGAAAACGGTGGGGATGGGGAGGGGGGGGGGGGCGACGATATCTGCTGCATGCAGCTGGTTTCGGGCTCACCGCTGGGCGCTTTTCTCGAGGCGCTGGCGCCAGAGAAGCCAGCTCAGCTCCGCGAGACGTGAGCTGATTCGCTAACTTCCCTGTGCTATCCCCCCCCCCTTCGCCCTCCCTGGGACGGGGGGGGGGGGTCGGTGGGGATCGGGGGCCAGGAGGGGTGGCGTCGGAGGGCACGAGGGGGGAGGCAGTTGGAGGTGAGGGCAGGGCGATGGAGGAGGGAGAGGACAGCGGGGGAGGCAGGGGAGGGAGGGAGGGAGGAGGGGAGAGGGAGGGGAGAGGGGAGTAGTGGGGCAGGGCAGGGGAGGAGGGGAGAGGGAGAGGGAGGAGGGGAGAGGGAGGGGGCAGGGCGAGGAGGAGGGAGGGGAGAGGGGAGTAGTGGGGCATGCGGTACCTATGGCGACAGAGCAGTGCTTTTGTTTGGATCGCGACGCTGATGAGGCCGAGCGCCTGTCCGCCGAGAAAGGCGCTGCAACGAGCACCATATTTTGAGAGGCTGAGCATTCTGCGCGGATGCCAAGTAAGCAAGCACAGTGAAACAGCAGTTCGAGGTAGAGCAGCAGCACACAGCTGCGACAGCAAGACAGGCGGCGAGGGCGGCCCTGGTGTGATGCTGGCGAGGTGTCCCTAAGGGAGGGAGGGGGACGGAGGGGCGCGACGATGGCACAACCTGCGGCTTGACCTTGACCGGCGCGGGAAGCTCGTGAGGTGATGTGCGGTCGGCCAGTCCCGCAACGCCCACCACAATGGTATGCGGGACACTCGCACCCTTCTTAGCTGGCTTCGCACCGAGCACAGGCCGGAAGGAAACATGCAGTTGGGCGTCGCCACCCGCGACCCCGCTGATGGCATGGACACGGTGGCGACCATGCGGGAGAAACAATAAGTGGGATCTATATCCTCGAGTGCGTGCAGGGGGAAAACACAATCCAACGCCGCGAAATTTATTTGCGCTTTTGCGCGCAGAGACGAGAGGCGGTTCCTAGCGAGGTGCTAGGCTGGGCGGTTCCATTTGGGGAGCGCCGAAGTAGTGCCTAGCACATAGTTCTACTGTCACTACAGCCGCTGCCGCCGCCGCTACCGCTGGTGTGGCCACCGCGACCAGGACCACCCCTTCGCCACCACCACCGCTCCCGCCACTTCTGCCGGTATCATCGGCCCCCCACCGCTGCTGCCGCGTTCGCTGCCCACTACCACTGCCGCTGCCACCACTCCCACCACTGCCGCCACCACTGCCACTGCCGCTGCCACCACCGCTCCGACCCTCGCGCACAGAGGGCCCGCATCGCCCCGGGACCACGCGGTTGGCCGGCCTCGGGCCGTGCCAGCGGCCCGACACCGCGGCGCCGCGAGCGGCGCCCACGGTGCCGGCAGGGGCGCCGACCCCGCGGCGCGGCTGGCCAGGGCTGTGGGGAGAGGGCGGGAGGGGGAGGAGCGCCATGGGTCAGGGGAGGAAAAACCACCCAGACTTGGCGTTTACTAAACGGCCCTGGGCGTTTACTCAACAGTCCTGCCCTGTTCGATTCCTTCTTTGGGCGCGTTTACTAAACGACTTCGCGTTTCGGGGTGGTTAATATGGGGGTGGATGTTTTGATTTCAAATGAGGGAAACGGGTCCCGGGGGAAACGGGTCCCGAGGTCGTTCGCCGTTTTCGGGCTCTCGGGGCGCTCCAGGGGCCCCAGGACTGTCAGAGAACGACTCCGAGTGAATATCTCGTCGTGGGGGAAGGCCCGTTTCCCTCAGGACCTCTGCCCCCCATGCTAAGAGGAGGGGGGAGCAGGAGGCAAGCGGGAGGGGAGGGGAGACGGGCGGAGAGGAGGCAGGGAGGGAGAAAGGACGATAAGAGGGGGTTCGGTGAGGGGCAGGGAGGTATGGGGAGAGTGGCGAACAGGGGAGGGAGGGGGAGGGAGGGGATGGGGGGGCGAATGATGAGGGCAAAGAGGGAAAAGGGAGGGAGGGGGGGAGTGTTGGGGAGGCCGCCCCAGCCGGCGCAGCCTCAACAGCGGGCGCACCCTCTGCTCCGAGGGCATCCCCTGCGCCGAGGTCCGCCGCATCCGAGGCCGCCCTCCTCCTCCTCCTACTCCTCCTCCTCGTCCTCCTCCTCCTCCTCCTCGTTGCCCTCGTCCTCCTCCTCGTCGTCGTCCTCCTTCCTTCTCCTCCCTGCCCCTGTTTGTTGTCGTTTTTAGTTTTTTGATTTTTTTCCCCTCTTGGCACACTTTATCCTCCTTCCGTCCCTCTCCCCCTTCTCCTCGTCCCCCTCCTCCTGCTCCTCTTTGTCTGACCGCCGTAGCCACGTTGTTGGCTAAGGGTTGCGGCTCAGAAAGAGAAGGAGGAGGATAAGGAGGACCAGTGCAACCCCAAGACGCACCAACGATGTTGTAATAAGCCCTCCCTATAAGGTCCCTCGTCACAGGTCCCTACAAGCATTTGTTTTCATTGCGGGAAGTGCCCCGTCGGAAAACAATCTTCTGAGAACCCTCAGTCCTGCCAGAACACACTTCGTGGGACTTCAACGTTGCGCCCCGACAGTCCTAAATCCGGCCGGAACACCACTCCTGGGACCCAACATCGGGAATCAACGTTGTTCAGGTAGGGGAAAAACACACAGACACAATTAATCGTCGATTCCAAGGAAAATATAGGAAAATATGGGAAGTGGGAGGGACCAACAACCCAGAAAATATGGGTAAATATGGGGGGAATCTGGTTATTTGTGTGTATTTATTTGTGTGTCCCTGGGCCTTTTTAGTTATTGCTGCATCCTGACACCCCTGGACCGTGCCAGCGCACCATTCCTGGGACCTCACAACCATGCGGGAACCCATGAGTTTGCTGGAGCATGCTGCGATGACCGCCCAGCGGCGGCGGCGAGAGCCACAGTCTGATGGGGAACCGCCCTCCATCCTCGAGACCGTTGTGAACTTCTGAGGCGAGAGCGCGGCGCAGGCGGAGCCACGCATTTTGAGAGCCACCCGCCCTCCATGCATGACACTCTTTTGAGCGTTCAGGACGAGCGTGCGCGGCGCTTGGGCGAGAGCAGCGTCTTGGGCACCAGCCGCCCTTTAGCCCTGAAGCTGCTGCGGACTTTTAAGGAGGAGTGTGCGCAACACTAGGGGCGAGAGCAGCACTGTGAGCACTGGCCGCCCTCCATCCTTGAAACTTGTGCGAACTTGTACGACGAATGTGAGCGGCGCGAAAGCGAGAGCCACATTGTGAGAAGGCACCAACCTCCATCATTGAAGCCGCTGCAAACTTCTAATGCGAATGTGCGCGGCTCTCAGGCGATAATTAGCCACATTCAGAAAACCACCCGCCCTCCATGTATGGCACTGCTGCAAACTTGTAAGACGAATGTGCGTGGAGCTTGGTTGAGGGCAACAGTTTGAACACCAGCCGCCGTCCAGCCTTGAAGCTGCTGCAAACGTTCAAGACGAATGTGCACGGCGCTTGGGCGAGATCAACATTTTGAACACCAGCCGCCCTCCATCCTTGAAGCTATTGCAAATTCTTCACGCTTCGCGTAGCCCTACCAGCAGTTTTTGAGCTGCCGCACGTTTGCTGCGCCTGTCTTGCTTTTCCGCTTTCCCGCTGCCTAGTCGTGGCCCGGCTAGAGTTTGGACGACTTTTGACCCGCTTCACGAGGCCGTTGACCAAAAAGTATCCCTACCAGCCCATTCAGAAACGCTGCCGATGAGAGCTGCCGGGGAACAGGCGGATGAGATCCTGAAGCGATGCCCAGGCGAGTTGCCTTCTTCAGGGAAGTGTATAAGCGTGCAGTGGAACATCTGCCCAGAGAGCTGCGAGGAGGAGCTGGAGGAGGAGAAGGAGGAGGAGGAGAGAAGGGAGGAGGAAGAAGAGGACGACGAGGACGAGGAGGGGGACGAGCAGGATGACAATGAGGAAGAGGAGGGACACATCGAATATGACAAGGAGGAGGAGGAGGACGAAGAGGATGAGGATGAGGATGAGGATGAAGATGAGGATGAGGAGGAGGAGGAGGAGGAGGAGAAGGATATGGTCGAGGAACATGAGAAGCTGGAAGACCAGGAAGGGAATGCTGACGATGATGATGGTGATGATGCTGATGAGGATGCCTTTGCTGATGATGATGATTATGATGCTGTTGTTGTTGTTGTTGTGGTTGTGGTTGTTATTGTTGTTGTTGCTGCTGTGTTGTTGCTCTTGTTGTTGTTGTTGTTGATGATGATGATGATGATGCTGATGATGATGCTAATGCTGATGATGATGAGGAGGAGGAGGAGAAGGAGGACGACGACGAGGACGAGGACAAGGACTCTGGTAGCCACCTTGGGGCATTCTTGAGGCCTTTTAGCGTCCTCTTCGGGCCCAGGGCGCTCTTCGGGCCCTCCAGCGGGGATCTTGGGGCCTTTGTGGGTTTTTTGTTGGGGTGGGGGGCCCTCTTGGGGCCGTCTTGGAAGCCCTGGCGGCCATCGATCAATAGAGGGGGGGCTCCCTAATTCGAGAGCCTTCGAAGCCGCCTCTCGGGGCCCTCTCGGGGCGCTCTTTGGCGCTCTTGGCGCCGTCCAGCTTCTTGGGGCTTTCTGTGGCCATCTTGGGGTCATCTTGAGGCCTCAAGAGCGAAGCGGAAACGAAACGGCGAGACGGCGAACATCATCGATTTTCATTCGGCGGTTGTGCGTTTCTGGCTTCTTGGGGAGGTCCCGAGGGGGCTCCGAGAGCACTCGGGGGGCCGTCTTGGAGCGGTCCCCTGGGCCTCTTAGGGCATGTGGAAAGCCACCTTGAGCCATCGCCGGCTATCGTGAGCCATCTTGGAGGCCATCCTTTGAGCATCGGAGGCCCTCTTGGAACCACCTTGGGCCAAGATGGGGCCTCACACACATCGCGAGAACCCCGAAACAACCTAAGGGAGGGGAGGAGGAGGATACCCCTCCCAGAAGGGAAACTGTGTTGACGGAGAAGAGGAAAACACCATTAGACCCAGGATCATAAAGGGACCGTGAGTCTCAGTCGGAAGGCCTGGCCCGCCCCACCCACGTCAGGGGATGCGACAGGGAAAAGTTATTACCGTAAGTCTCAGGCAAAACGCCCGGCCCGCTCCACCCACGTCTGGGGGTGTGACAGGGAGAAGTTATTCATAAGGAAAAGAATGGAGGAGGAGGAGGAGATGAGGATGAGGAGGAGGAGGAGGTGGAGGTGGAGGAGGAGGAGGAGGATGAGGAAGAGGCAGAGGAGGCTCAGTCTCCTGAGCCTCCTGCTCCTCCCCTTCCTCTGCCTCTCTCTTCCACTCGTCCCACGTACCCCTTCTCGTCGTCCTCATCCTCCTCCACCCTTTCCGACTGCTTTATTCCCGAGCTGCTACCCCTCCTGTTGCTCCTCCTTTTCGTTCTCATCCTCCCCATCCCCTTATCCCTGCAGGCGTCCGACGTGCAGCCTGCGCTCAGTCGCCAGTCCTCGAAGGCATCGAAGCAGAGGTGCAAGAGCCGACCTTCGAAGGGTCACCTCGGCCTCGCGGAGCTTGAGTCAAAGGTGCAGGCGCCATCGGACGGGCGGGGAGGAGGAAGGGGGGGAGAAAGACGTGCTGGGAGGGACGGAGGCAGGGAGGGAAGGGGAAGACACGGGAGGGAGGTAGATGATGAATATGTTGCTGCTGCTGATGATGCTGATGTTTATGATGATGATGATGTTGATTAGGCTATTGATGATGCTGCTGATGATGATGGTGATGCTGATGATGTTAATGATGCTGCTGATGATGTTATTGTTGTTTTTGAAGTTGTCGATGATGGCGATGCTGATGATGATGCTGATGCTGATGCTGATGCTGATGCTGATGCTGATGCTCATAACGATGACGCTGCTTCTGCTGCTGATGATGATCATCATCATGCTGATGCTGCTGATGCTGATGATGCTGCTGCTGATGATGATGCTGCTGATGATGATTAGGAGGAGGGTTATGATGAATATACTGCTGATGAAGAGGATTTGGATGAGGGTGAGGGGGAAGGCATGGGCGGGGCGCTACAAGGTGGGGAGAAGAGGGAATGGGGCAAGCTAAATGCGCAAGCGTCATACCTAACGTCGTACCCCTCCCTCCTTTCCCTTACCACTGCATGCCGAACAGGACAATGATCCCGAGAGGTTACGAGATGCATGGTATAGCACAGCATATCATGGCATAGAAGAGCATGGCCACAGCCGACGTCGCCGTGTCGAGAACATGACTCAGTTCGACAACAAGGTCAGAGGGAAACCAGACATGACACAGGACAGAACATGCAAATGGACGGTCTGGAAAGCGGGAAGCGCACACTGAGAGCAGCGTTGCAGCGGGAACTCAATGCCGAAGGACCGAAACCGCGAAGATTAGACCAGAGCTGCAGTGGGAGCACGAGTTGGAAGGACTGGAAGCGCGGATCCGAAGCCACCGCTGCAGCAGGAGCACGGTTTGGACGATCCGAGAGAATGAAGTGAGGTCAGTGCCGCAGCGGGCACACGCTTTCGACGGACCAGGACAGGGGAAATGGAGCCAACGCTGTAGCGGGAACGCCACTCTGAAAGGATGGAAAACGTTGGGATTGGACAAGCACATATTCATTCTCAACTCGGCGGCATCAACTCTGTAACCACTCGATTCTGATTCATATTCATTCTCGAATCACAATATCATATTCATGTTCACTCTCAATTCTGTAAAAAAGCAATACGCGGAGGAGGCCAGGACACCCCACCGCCGTCTTCGGGGGAGAGAGCAGAGCTGTATTCACATTGTGTACTTGTGGGCGGGTGAAGGAACGGTGAGGGGAGAGGCTGGGGGATGGGGGAGATGAGAGGGGGACGGGATTGAGGGAAGCATGGGGTATGGGTGGGAAGAGGGTGTTTCCCTTCACGTGCACAATCAGTGGTATCTGTTCTTATCGATATCGTTTGACGTCCGCAGCTCATTTGTGTCAAAGGAGCGTTGCATGGTAGCGGAGCGTCGGTCTATCCGGCGCTCGCGCGCACCAGCCCCGGCCGCGCTCCCGCGCGGCCCGCCCTGCCCACGCCAGCCACGGCGTCGAGCGGCGATATCGGAGCTGCTGGCGTGTGGCTGCTGGTGACGGACGAGGCAGAGGCTTCGGTCAAGCAGACCGACGGGAGAGTGCAGCGCCGGTGGCGCCACGTGGTGGCGAAGGTGCTGAAGCAGAAGTACCTCAAGGGCTTCTGGTCGGTGCTCGGTGAGTACCTCAAGTACGTCAAGAGCAGGCAGCTGCGATGAATGAGCAGGAGAGGCAGGCCCTGGCTAGCCTGCAGTCCGCTGTGGAAGCGCTGAGGATCCAGAACGCCCAGCTGTCCCAGCAAGCAGAGCAGATGCAGCAGCAGAACGTGCAGATCAGGACGGAGCTCGCTCGGCAGGTTCAGGCGCAGGGTGATCTACCACGTTTGGCCGAGCAGCTCGGCGACGCTGTGCAGAAGCTATCTGAAGAACGCAAGGAGAAGTCGTCTGCGCCGGCCTTCTCCCTTGTAGACACCAAGGGGTTGGGCAAGCCCTCCATCTTCAAGAATGAGGAAGCCAAGTTCCTGGAGTGGTACCGCAAGACCAATGCGTACCTGACGGCAGTCTTCGGAGAGCAGTTCCGCAAGCTGCTGGAGTGGGTGGAGGACCAGGCGCAGGAGACCACAGTGATCAGCATGGAGGTTCTGGAGGCGCGGTTCGGCAGCGACGACGATGATGAAGATGAGTTCATTCCGGACCTCCGCGAGAAGGTCAGCCAGCTTTACGTCGCATTCCAGACGCTGACCGAGGGTGAGAGCTTTGCCCTAGTGATGAACACTCCCAAGGGCAACGGCGCTGAGGCGATGAGGAAGCTCATCCGGCGCTGGGACCCAGCTTCAGGGGGCAAGCGCCGTGTTCTCTTGAAGCAGATCATGAACCCGCAGCGGTGCACCCTCAGCGACCTGTACGCGAAGCTCGAGGAATGGGAGGAGCTCATCCGTCGGTACGAGAGGAAGAAGGCAGATGGCATGGGCAAGGTGGTCGACGACGACGTGAAGGTTGCGGCCCTGGAGACCATGGTGCCGGAAGAGCTCGAACTCCACCTCGCGATGAACAAGCATCGGTTAGACACGTCGGAGAAGGTCGTAGAGGAGATCCGGAGCTTCCTGGAGTCGAGACAGTCGCAAGGTGCCCTCCTCCGACGGAAGCGAGGTGACCCGATGGACGTTGACTCGCTGTACAAAGGAGGCAAGGGTAAGTCCAAAGGTAAGGGTGACAAGAACGGCAAGAAGGGCCAGGCTCCCAAGCCGCGTGACAAGCGGACGGTGCAGTGCTGGCGTTGCGGTGGCTGGGGTCATACATCGAATGAGTGCACAGCCCGCCTGCCTGGCGGGAAGACCGGCGACGGCAAGGGCAGCAAAGGCAAAGGCAAGGGCAAGGACGCAGACAAGGACAAGTCCAAGGGCAAGAACCGCCGCTGGGACACCAACTCCTTCGAGCCCGGTGCCGCGTCAAGCTCGGGCCAGCCGGTGTACGGAGACAACTGGGATGACGGCAACAACAGCACGATCACCAGCCTTCCGCCCTCAGCGAGCCAAGTGGGCTCCACGAACCTTGGCTCCTTCGAGCTGTGCACGTTCGAGCTCAACAGCTTCGACGAGACCGTCGACGACCAGGAGTGGATCAGGTTCCCAGAGGTCGCTGCCTTGCTAACTCTAAGCCGGCAGCTTTCAAATGTTCGCAACTAGGCCGGAGGATGTTCAATTGCATCATATAGGCCGGAGGATGTTGAATAAGCATATCATGTCTTTTGATATATATATATGTATAATATATATATACACACTGTATGCAAATAATACACATATGTATACATATCTTATGCATACATATGCAATACATACATAATATCATAATATCCAACACGCACAGAAATCAACCGACCACGGCCGCGCATGGCACGCCAGCAAGTCAAAGCGGCTGCCAACCACGGTGCCCGCCCACCACAAACGCAACAAAACCAACAATCACCAACACCAAAAACAAATGCAACAACCAAACACCAAGCCAAAACGGCTCTCATGCACGAAGGCGCAACCGCCAACCACAGCAACCGCCAACGAACATACCAACCAACAACCAACAAACCAATAACCAACCACCAACCACCAACCAACCAACAACGAACCAGCCAAACGAACCAACCAAACAACCAACCAACCAACCAACCAACCAACCAACCAACCAACAAAGCCAAAACGGCTCCGAACTGCGCCACGGACGGCGGCGACGGCGGCAACGACGACGTCGGCGGCGACTGTGCCGACGGCGCCGACGACGCCGACGGCGGCGGCGGCTGCGACGGTAGCGACGGCAGCGCCGACAACGATCGACGGCCGACGGCGACGGTGATGGCAACGGTGGCGATGGAGACGGCGCTGCGCCGTCGACCGCCGTCGTCGGCGTCGCCGTCGCCGCGGCCCACAGGGCGGGGGGCCCTCGAGGGATCGTCGTCGTCGTGCCCGACGGGCGCGGTGGGCGGCTCGCGGCGAATGGCCCCGAAGAAGGGCAGCGCCGAGGAGAGGAGCCGGCTCAGGCCGATCCTCCTCTTCTCCTGCTTGTCGTCTTTGCCCTCGTCGTGGTCGTCGTCGTCGTCCTCTTCCTCCTCCTCCTCCTTTTTCGTCCGCCTTGTCATCCTCGTCTTCCTGCTCCTTCTCGTCGTCCTCCCCCTCTTCCTCCTCCTCCTCGTCCCCCGCGCCTCCTCCTCGCCCTCTTCCTCCTGAGGCGCGCGTCTTCACCTTCTCCTCCTCCCACTCGCCTCCTCCTCCTCCTCCTCCTCCGTCCTCCTCCACCTCCTCTTCCTTCTCATCTTCCTCCTCCTCCTCCTCCTCCTCCTCCTCCTTCACCTCCTCCTCCTCCCCCCTCCTCCTTCTCTTCCTTATCCTCCTCCTTCTCCTCCTCCTTCGCCCCATTCGTGCGCAGGGACGCGGTGGCGCTGGCCGCCGCGCTCATGCCGTTCGTCACGAAGCGCTCGTGGCTGCAGTACGGGAGCGCACCAGGCCGAGCAGCGAGAGCACACCCACGATCAAACGCGCCCCTGCGCTCGCCCTCGGCTCCCGCGGCGGAGTTAGCGGCGAGCGCAGGGGGGCGCTTGAGCGCGGGCGCGTTCTCGCCGTTCACGCCAGGGAGCGACCGTTTCACGCACGAGTGCGTGGCGCAGGTCCATCATCACCACAAGGTGATTGGGAGATGAAGAAACACTGGGAGGGGATTGCGGAGAGGAGGAGGAGGAGGAGGAGGAGGGAGGAGGAGGAGGAGGAGGAGGAGGAGGAGGACGACGAGGAGGAGGAGGAGGAGAAGGGGGTTAGGAGGAGCAGCAGGAGTTCGGAGGATGGTGAGGCTGCTAGTGGGATCGATGGAGTGAGATCGATAGTGGGATCGATGGAGTGAGATCGATAGTGAGATCGACAGGAGGAGCAGCAGGAGTTCGGAGGAAGAGGATGACAGTGGGATCGATAGTGAGATCACTGGAGTGAGATCGATCGTAAGATCGATC